AGAGATGCCTGTGGGTTTCTTTTTTTAAGGCATATTCAAATCCTGTTTTGCACGCTGAATCCTATGCGTCTCTGGGCTATCTATCTGTTTTGCTGAAAGCACTCCTGGCCCCGCTAGGGTCCCGCACTGCCGCCGGGAGGGCCCACAACGCTGCGGGAAGGAGCCAGAGAGCAAAGGTGCGCTGCATCCCGCCAGCGGCTGGAAGGGAAAGAAGAAGGGTTTACGGCTTTTTTTTTTCTAATCTTTCCCCTCATCCTTTCCGTCTCGCTAGGGGCTAGAGGGAAACGGCACAGCCCTGCCAGGCAGGACGGGGATTTCAGGGTGCTGCCGAGCCCCCGAGCCCCGCACCCATGAGGGTCACCGTTTGCTTTGGGAGATGCTCACGCTCGTGCTGGGGCAACAGGAGGGGAGCAGGATGGAGCTGCTTGCTGGGGGGAAGGGAGAGGAGGGAGCCCCTTCCCTAAATAAGAGCCAGGGCTGGACGTTGCAGAAGCAGAGCAGTTCCCACTGCCCTTTCCTATGGTTTGGCTCTGCCTTCCAGTTTCGGGCAACCGGTAATGGTTCGAGTCCTGCTTCCAGCTGAAATTCAGGCGTCCCCGAAGGCAATGGGAAGGCTCTGCAGCTCCACGTGGGGCTCCAGCTCGAGCCCCTGCACGGCAGAGCCCTGAGAAAGCCTGCTGGGGAAATCTTGTACAGGGTAAACCAAGCACGAGGCTTGCCAAGGTGGGAACACGCTCAGAGCACCTGGAGCAGCCTTTTCCCAAGCCTGGATTTAGGCAGGTGGGCAGGCTGAATCTCCAACTCTGTGCTCCGCGCTTCTCTGCCAACATTTTTCCTCCGATTGACATAAACTGTAAAAGCTCCTAAAACACCAAACCTCTACCTACCCGATGTGGAAACACACTTTTCCATGTTTCCAGTGCGTTTTGTTCCTGAGTATGTGCTTGCTACAGAGGAAAATAATACACACCCAAAAGGATTTCATGATATTCCAGTGCAGCGTTCGCACCCCCCCCACCACCCCAGCCGGCCATTTCTCAGCAGCAAGGTGCAAAGCAGAGCAGAGGCCCAGCACAACGGCCCACCGCGCTTGGTACAACCGTCCTCGGCGTCCTCCACGGGCAGCCCCACGCTTGCTGAACACCTGCCACAGTAAACCCGTATCATCGAGGTCAACAAGCAGGCAGAGGGCAAAGGATCCACGTCCCTAGTCCTCAGCAGAGGAAGATCTGGCACCAGGAGCTATTGTGAAGTTGCTCAAAGAGATATTTTGTAGTTCCTGTACTCCTTTTTTATACTGGGTATACTGACTACAGGCTCCCAAAAACGTAAGTCAACAAGGAGATGACAAACAGAAATGTCAGTATTAACAGTAATAGCTATTATTGCTGAACTATATTTCTATTTTTATAAAAATCAACCAGGAACGTTTCTACTTTTTTTTTTTTTTAAAGATTGTTACTTCCCTGTACATTAAAATATTAAGTTACCCAGTTTTCAAAACAAGCTTCATGGAGCTAATCCAGACAGAGGAATGCAATATAACTTAGTGAAAATGCCTTAGATTTCCTCTGTCCACCATACCTCAGTGTTTGAAAACCAATTAATTTCATTACTTACCTATTTTATATTTAATTTGTTACTTGTTTTAATTGAAAATAAGTGTACAACGCTGAAAAGCGACCTGTTGTGACTAACTCGGGTTTTCCCACTGGGGTGGTGATAAGAATTAAGTTCACGGTACTATGCAGTGACATGTGTAACTATGCGGGAAATAATATGTTAGCTGTATAGGAATGCCATTAAAAGGGGTGGCGATAACTCTAGCACTTTCTTGTTAAATCTCCTGCTGATGGCTGCGCAATGAACTTTTGTCAAACGTGCCTTACAGTGGAATCACACATCATCTCCAGCATCTCCAAAGAGTGAGCATGCAACAACCTATACTTTGCTTGGTTGTATGTACGTACCTCGGCTTGTATGTCATTATTAACACAGAATTCAAATTACATTGTGCACGCTGGTCCCGCGCAACCCGCTTGGCTGAGCAGCCACTGCCACATCATGCTCAAAACGCTGCCGAGGCACATCCAACCTGCTCTGAACATTTGCCCTGAGATCTGAGTTTCTCTCAAGGCTTCAGAGTTGGGCCTCCCCGTTTGGCATGGTCTTACCTGCCAAAGCCGGTCTCGGCTTTCTGCATGGTTAATAAACAAACATGCGGGCAACTATGAGGATGCATACTGACGCAGATCAAGAAACTAGAAATCACCTTCCATCTTGGGATTTTTTTTTTTCTGATAGTTAGAGCCATCCAAAAATAAAGGGGGGTTATCATATTGTTATTCATATGCTGCTGCTAGAATAGAAAAAGTATGTATATGAATAAAAAGAATGTTCATATACCAAACAGAGGAAGCTATTACTGCACACATAACATGCAAGTTGGAAATAAATACATTACATGGATGAACTTTATGCACCCAAACCCAATGTTATTTCATCTGAGAAACCACACCTGATTTCAGCAGTGTTCGCTTCTCAAATTTCCTATTGCTTCACACAATTTAAGGCATCTGAGACTGACAATTCCAGCTCCCTTTTATGTAGCATACTCCTCAGATACCAAAGGGAAGAAGAGTAACTGACTCATAAATAACACTAAACTAACCTTTTCGCCTTTCTTGCACCATTTGCAATGCTGTGTTTGATGTCAGCTTGCAAACCTTGGTGCTAGGCTGTCCCCTGAGGCCGGCGCTCAGGCCCAGAGGCAATGATGTGGCCACTCTGGCAGCCTGGGCACAGAAGTGGGTTGGTGGGACCCTCCCGATGCCCAGTGGAGGAGGGTGACCCCTTCGAGATACAGGGCAGATGGAGCTGAGGAGACCCAAAGGACACCTGTCAAGGCAAGCCACCTTCCCCCTTGAGGTGGGCTGACAGATGGACCCCAAACTCAGTCCCATCACCTCTGGACAGGGGATTGGATGCCATCACAGTTGTGCTCGAAAGACAACTTGCTGGGGGGGGCGG